GCCATGGCACTCTACCCAGAGGGACAGCTTGAGGCTCTGTCTCAAAAAAAAAAAAAAAAAAGATGGTAAATTTTATGTTGTAATATGTAATATATTTTAAAAATATTTTTAATTGCAGTAAAAAAATATATTAAAATGCCATAAAAAAAGAGGTGGACAGGGTAGAAGAAACAAGAATGACTTAATATTGATAATTGTTGATACTGGGTGATGTTTTCATGAGAGTTCATTATGCTATTGTCTTTACCTTGGTATGTTTAAAATTTTCCATAATAAAAAGTTTTTAAAGTGAGGATTAGGAAGCTTGGGCTTTGAGAACAGAACTAGGTTTGAATCCTAGCTCCACTTTATAAAAATTGAAATATAATTCATATACCATAAAATTCACCATTTTAAAGCATACAATTTAGTGGTGTTAAGTATACTTACAGAGTTGTGCAACTATCACCACTAATTCTACAAAATTTTTATAACCTTAGAAGGAAACCTACTATCCATTGGTCTTCACTTTCCATTTCCCCTTTCCCTCAGTACCTGGAAGCCATTAATTTAATTTTCCATCTGTATGTATTTGCCCATTCTAGACATTTCATATAATGGAAATCATATTTGGATTGTGATGTACAAGCTTAGGTAATAAAAAAGATAAAAAGAAATCATAATATGTAGCTTTTTGTATCTAACTTATTTCATGTAATGTAATGTTTTCAAGGTTCATTCACACTGTAGCACAAATCAGTACTCTGTTCCTTTTATGGATGAATAATATTTCCTTGTGTGGATATACCACATTTTGCTTATCCATTCATCAGTTAATGGACATTTGGGTTGTTTTCACCTTTTGACTTTTACGAAAAAGGCAATAAACATTAATTTCCAAAAATATATTTCTGTGTGAACATAGTTTAATTCTAGGTATGGATGTATACCTAGAAGCAGACTTGCTGGATCATATGATAGCTCTATCTTTAGATCATTTGAGGCCTTAACAGTCTGTTTCCCTAAGTGACTATACCATTTTACATTCCCACCAGCATTGCATGAGGATTTCAATTTTTCTGTATCTTTGTCAACACTCATTAGTTTCCTTTTTTTTTTTTTTAATTATAGTCATCCTAGTGAATGTTAACTGGTTTCTCATTGTGGTTTTCATTGGCATTTCTGTAATGACAAATGATGAGCATCTTTTCTTGTACTTATTGGCTGTCTTCTGTTTTTAGTTGTGTGACTTTGGTCAAGTTCTGTAACCTCTGAGCCTCATTGATTGCTCATCTGTGAAATGGAGATAATAATGACTCATAATGTTATTGCAAGATTAGTGAACATGATGTGAGTTTGGAATAGTACCTGATACATAGTTGGTACTTAATTGATACCTAATATTATTTTGCTACTTGAGTGTAGGTAGCCTGCAATCCAGGTAAACTTTTTCCAGTGACTTCAATGTGCCTGCTGTAAAAGTTAAATGCTGAGGTCATTTTACAGGGTGTTTTATTTTTCCCAACTTCAAAAGAAGGCTTCTTTACTTTCTTTTTTTTTTTTTTTTACACTTTTGGCCAGGGCCAGCACCCTACTCCTTGAGCCACAGACACCACCCCGGCTTCTTTACTTTCTTTACTGTTCTGTACCTATTAACTCCTGCTCTCTATCCATCCTAGTTATAAGAATATAGGACCATGGATAATGCAAAGAAGATTAAGATAGAACCTATGATCTTAAAACTTGATGGCATTGCCAAATTAAATCTGTGACTATGTCATCTATAAGAGTGAAGAGGAGGGAAGTTATCAAATAGTTTTTCTAGGAAGAAAACTATTTTTTCTAGGAAGAAACTAGGAAGAAAAACATAGGCAGTCCTATGGAAAGTATTTGGAACATTGGGAAAGAAAGGCAATAACGCATTCTAGGGAGGTAAACTAAGTAAGCAAAGACAGGGAAGCGGGACTAATCTTAAGAAACTAGCCTGGTCAGAGAGGTATGTTGGAGAAATGTGGGAGAGATTTGTGAGATTCTCATTCTATTATTTTCTATTACCTACTCCAGAAGATACAGTAAAAGAAGTCCTATACCTGGAATCATAACACTTGTTCTAATCTTGGTTCTGCTACAAATTAGCTAGGTAATCATTTCAACTCATTTCTTCTTTCTAGGCCTCAGTTGCCTAATCAATAAAATGAATAATTGAATTAGTTCAATGGTTCTTAACTGGGGGTATTCATATGAACCTACTGGAAGCTATTTTGAAATACAGCTGTTTGGATTACACTCAGGAAATTGTTTCAGCAGATACGAGGTGAGGAAGTTTTTATAGTTTGAAAAAGCTCTCCAGGTGATTGTGATTTACATTCTTAGTATTTTAAGATCCAACAGATAAGTTACAAATCAGTAGTCCTTGGCTTTCTGGAGTTGAAATCATTTTGTTGGTGGCATAATCAGCCTCAGACCCAGATAAAGATCATGTGTTATAGTAGAAAGAACAAAGACGTTAGTGTCAGTCTGACCCAGGTTGCTGTTTCCCAGCTGGCTCCATTGCTCTGAGAATTGCACCTTATTTCTTTGAGCCTCAATTACCTCATCTTTAAAATGGGGCTAATAATGTCTATGTGGTCAGGTTGTTGTGCTGAGACAGAACATATCATGCATAGAAACTATGCTTGATTCAAGATAAACAGATGCTCAATCAGTAACTTGTATGAGAGGTATCCCAAAGGAAACCATCTCTAGGAGACAGCATGAAATTATACTCTGGTTTTTTTTTTTTTTGAGACAGTCTCTCTCTGTCACCCTGGGCGGACTGCCATGGCCTCATACCTCACAGCAACCTCAAACTCCTGGGCTGGGCCTACAGGAACCAGCCACAATGCCTGGCTAGATTTTTTACCCATTTTTGGTACAGATGATGTCTTGTTCTTGATCAGGCTAGTCTTGAACTCTTGAGCTCAAGCAATCCACCTGCCTCAGCCTCCCAGAGTGCTAGTATTACAGGCATGAGCCACCAAGCCTGGCCTAAAACTATATTCTTATATGATACACCTGGAATCAATCATAACTCTAGGTGTAAATATGTTTCAGTACTTTTTTGTTCTTTTGCCTAGATGTCAAATAAATACAGACCTTGCTTATCTGTCTGCTTACCAATGTCCCTCCCCTTGTGTATGACATGACAATCAACTTTGACTAGACTTTTTTTCCCATAGCCTGGCCAAAGTTTAATCATGGATTGCAACTCCAGAAAACTACCATTCCTTTACAATTTAAATGGAAAATAGGTCATGAGTTGAACAAAATTATCAAGGTCCATGGCCTCTAAAAACCAAAATCTTGGCTTTATTCCTTCTAGCCATATGTCCTGGGGGATAATAGTGTAAAATGGGAATAATAATCTTATGGCATCATAAGTTTGTTGTGAGAGTTAAATTTTGAGTTAATGTGTGTTAAGTACTTGGAACATTGCTTAGCACATAGTACATATTCATTGTCTATTCGCCATTATTATTAATATTATGTACTGGGTCTTATGGGGGAGCCAGGAATACAGAGATAAACTTTCTTCAGTCAAGGAATTTAGTCTTACAGAGCCAGTATACAGATGATTTCAGTATGCTTCAAGTGCAGCAATAGAGGCATGTACAGGAACAGTATTTAACAGTCTGCCTCTGTTAGATAAAAAATAATTCTCTCCAGAAAGAAGCCTGGTACAATAGGAAGTGAGCATTCTGGAGTCAGATCAAGCTGGGCTGGAATCTTGTTTACCACTCACTCATCATGTAGTGTTGAGGCAGCCAACCTCTTACACCCTTAGTTTCCCATTTCCAAAATAAGGCAAAGTTTTTGACCCCTATCTGTTGGAAGAGTCCTATTTGGGTGCCCCACATTCTAAGGTGTTCCTAAGAAAAAAGCAAGGTCTTTTTAAAAAGACTTAGATGATCTTAGATTTCTGTATTTATTCCTACATCTGAGTTTTTCATCTATATATACCTTGCCATAGTTGTTCTGACAATGAGAGAATATGTGTAAAATACATGCAACACATAGTACATGCTGAGTAAGAAATAATAGCTTTATTATCTTTCTAATAAGTCTTTTCTGTTATTGTTTCAAAGTAAATACAAGTAATACATACTGTGTTAATTTCAGTATTCTAACTTGAATTTCCTGAGCCAAGTTTCATGAAAGGAGTTAAAAGCCTAGACATTTGAGTGAACACATATATAACACTGTCTGTGCTAAGTTTACAAGAATAAACAGGTTGTAAGCTAAGAGAGGGTTTTTGTTTGTTTCATTTTTTTTTAAGAGTGTTCTATTCAGCAACATATAATCTTAAATTTCATCAAACTGTAACATTATTAACCTTCCTGACTTCTACAAAATACAAATCTGCTTCTGTAACATGACATGTTCTCTTATTCCTTCCTAGGTCTTTCAGAGCCTTGAAGACCACCATTTGGAAGTGGTGGCTTTTTTCAGAGAAAATGGCTTCCATGGCCTTCTTGCCCATGACTCTGAGTATGCACTCTACAATATTTCTTCTTACTATAGTTCCCATGCTCTGAAGCTGAGTTGGAATGGGAAGAACCTTACTACCAACCAGTTCCTAATGCAGGAGGTGGCCAAGCAGCTGGGCTTGAAAAGAATGAATTTTCCCATATTTGCTGCACTGCTAGGTAGGTAGACCAAAGAAGAGACTCCAGTGATTAGTAGTTTCCTCTTCCAAAGTTAAGAGCTAAAGAGTAGAATGATTTAGCCTGTTATCATTGGATCTGTATTTTTTAATTCCGCATGCCAAACACTGTGTTGAGGAGAACCCAGCGGACTTTTGTTTTTGGCTTATAAATTGCTACAGTATATTCTAGAACAATATTTTGATCCTTGTAAACCTTTTTCTTTTGTTATATTTCATATCTGTTTTATGCAGAGTACTATCTGAAGCCAAATGTTTTACTAGCCCTAGACAACTTTGGTTCCCCACTTGAACCATCACCATTTCTTCCCCAGTGTCTAAATTTGTGTCAGGAACACAAATTGTTGATTATGTTTTTCTATTTCTTTTGTGCTAATCTTTTATGAAAATTTCTAGACATACAGCAAAATTGAAACAATTTTGCATTGAGAACTGTATATCCATCACCCATATTCTGTAATTAACACTTTACTGTACTTGCTTTATTATATTCATTCTTCTATCTTTTAAAGATATATTTCAAAGTAAATTAAAGAAAGTTGATTATATTTTGAATTAGTTTTCTAAGTACTGATAGCATGATTGCTTCATGTATAATCTCTCCTCTATATTCTCAAAGGGCATGAATTTGGATAATGTAATGAAGTCACCACAAATTTTGGAATTAGGCCTTAGGCAACTCACTGAAGTTACACCTCTCTGTTTTCAATTTCTTCATCTGTGAAATGGGAATAATAATACCTCATGGTGTTATTGGTAAGGTCAAATGAAATGAGGTATACCAAATGCTCAGCACTTATTAGGCAGTTAGTACTTGGTGGCTGTTATTATAAAAGGCAGCATAACTAAATAAATAGGTAACAGCATGGACTTTAGAAGTAAGACAGTCCTACTTTTCTTATCTTGGTATGTGTGCTTATTGGCCAAGTCACCTAACTTGTTCACACCTCAGTTTCCATATCTGTAAAGTGGGTATAATAATAATAATACCATGCATGGTCATTTTAAAGATGATGCATATAATACACATGATACAAAGGTAATCAACGTATAGCTATTATAATTATTACATTAAAAGTGTAAATATACATAAATTACTTGATCATTTTCTCTCTCAGGACTTCTTTCATAGCCTGGAGGTTCAAAGAAAACTTTTGTATCGTCAATAAATGACAAATGTACTTTATAGGTAACCACATTCTCCCAGATGAGGACTTGGCTGCTTTTCACTGGAGTCTCTTGGGACCAGAACATCCTCTTGCATCACTTAAGGTAATGTTTTCATTTCCTACTTATACAGAATTAGGAGGCATTAGGTTTTGGTAGGAATTTTAATGGAATAATTACCTTCTTAGATTTAAAATAATTCATATACAGATACAAAATTAGTTATGATCTATACCCTTAATATCTTAAGAATTCATATAAACCTATGAAGACAAATGTTAATTCTCTAATAAGGAAATAATGAACAAAGGATAGAAGAAAAAAGTTTACAAAAGAAGAAATACAGTGACTAAATGTTCAGCTTTACTGTGATCAGACATGTAAATTAAATGAACAGTATGGACTGGGCACAGTGGCTCACACCTCTAATCATAGGACTCTGAGAGGCCAAGGCAGGAGCTGCTTGAGCTTGGGAGTTGGAGACTAGCCTGAGCAATAGTGAGACCCCATCTCTACTAAAAATAGAAAAATTAATAATAAAATTAGTAGGGCCTTGTGGCAGGTTCCTGTAGTCCCAGCTACTCAGGAGGCTGAGGCAGAAGAATCACTCAAATCCCAGAGTTTCACATTGCTTTGAGCTAGGCTGATGCACTAGCACTCTGGCTTAGGCCAACAGAGTGAGACTCTGTTTCAAAAAAAGAAAGGAGCAGTGTGATTTTTTTTTAACTGAACAGTTTACCAAACATTGAAAAATTAGTGTACCCACTCCCATCAAGGCTGTGGCAAAACTGATACACTCATATACTTTTGGTGGTAGTGTAAGTTGGTGATTACATTGTATTTTCCTAGTTCTTTCACTCTCCTAGATGACTATTTCATAGCTTATTCCGCCTCTTTAAGCCTCTAACATTTGCTCCTTATCTCCCCACTCTCACTTCATAACATCAATTCCTATTTTACTGAGAAAATGACATCAATGGGAAGAGAATTTCTACAAACTGCTATACCTTCTTCACCTCACCTTATGTATATTCCTGTGCCCTATTTGTACTATGCCATTTCTTTTTAAAATTTATTTTGATTGGATTTTTGTTTTTTGAAGACAAGAGTTCTCACTATGTTGTTGCCCAGACTGGCGTGTACTGGCTGTGCACCAGCCGGATCACTGCAGTCTTGAACTCCAGGGCTCAAGCTGTCCTCTTGCCTCAGCCTCCCAAGTAGCTGGAATTGCAGGTGTGCACCACCACGCTTGGCTCCCATCTCCTTTTGCCAACTTAAGGGCATCAGCTTCCCGGTTTCTCCTGAATCATCAGTCTTCCTCTATTTATTGTTTTTTTTTTTTTCCCCCTTTGGATATATAAGCATGCATCCATCTTAAAAAATAAAACAACAAACTCACTCTTGACCTCATTCCCCACACCCAAGCTACTACTCCATATTTCCTCTTACAATAAGCTCCCCTAAAGAGCTGTTTATACTTGAGCTATGTACTATCTCCTTCCCCTGTTCTCCCTTCAATCTAATGTGCTGAAATTGCCTTTGACAAGATCAGCAATAATCTCAAGTTAATAAACCCAGTGACCAGCTCTTAGTTGTCATCTTACTTGACCAATAAGGGAGTATTTAATATAGTTGATCACTCCTTGTTCCTTAGAATGCATTTTTCAATTGGCTTTAAGGATACCATGTTCTTCTGATTTCTTCTCTATCTTACTGACTGCTTCTACTCCTCAGTGTCCTTTGGTGCTTCCTTGTCTTCTCTACTTCTTAATTGTGGAGTGTTCTAGACTTCCATCCTGGCTTCCTTCTTTTCTATCTATACACATGATTGATCTTATCCAGTCTCAGGACTGTAAATATCATCTGTCCATTGATGACTGTTAAGTTTATGATTCCAGCTCTGACCTCTCCATTAAACTCCAGGTTCCAATATCTGACTGCCTACTAAAAATCTTCATTTACATATTTCCTAGGTATCACAAAGTATTATGTCCAAATGGAAACTCCTGATCTTTCCTCTAAAGCTGTTCTTCTCACAGACTTCCTTATTTTTGTTGATAGCAACTTCATCCTTCTAGTTGCTCAGGCTAAACACCTTGGGGTCATCTTGGCTTCTCTTTCACACACCCTATATGTCATTTGTTAGCAAATACCGTTAGCTTTCCCTTCAAAATATATCTATTTCTCATCATGTACACTGCTACTACCCCAGTCAAGCCACTGTTATTTCTGGCCAGGATTATTATAATATCTTACTAACTGTTGGTGTTTTGCTTGCACCCTCCCTGCCACCCCCATTTATTCTCAGTGTACTAGTAGATTGATCCTTTAAAAAAATAAGATTATGTCACTTCTCTATTCAAAATTCTCTAGTGGTTCATCATATCACTCACCCAATCCTTACTGTGGCCTACAAAGCCCTATTATTATCTTGCCCCTTGTTATATCTCTGATATCTTCTTTCTTTTCTTTTGCTCTTAGAACCTTTGCGTTTACCTTTTCCCCTACTTGAAATTTTTTTTCTTCAAACATAGTTATTTCCTCCTAGAGGTTCAAATGTCATTTCCTGATCACCTTACTCTATGCATATGAATGCACACACACACACACACTTGCACTCCCTTTTCTACTTACCTTTTTTCCATAACACTTATCTACAACTAGCACACTATACATTTTACTAATTTGTTTAACTCCCATCATCCCATCCTAACAGACCTAGAATAGAATTTAAGTTCCCATGAGGGTAGGGATTTCTGTCTGTCTTGTATACTGCTGTGTCCTTGGTGCCTAGGACATTATCCAGGACATAGTAGGCAGTAAATATTTGTTAAAGGAATGAATGGTAAAGCCTTTTGGCAAGACAGTTTATATCAGAGGCCTTTAAGAAGTTTATATCCTTTGACTCAGTAATTGTAGTTTAAGGATGCTTATAAGTAAATAATTAGAAAGTAGGCAACAAATCATAACCTACATTTCAGGATAGCATTAAAAATTTCTTCTTAAAATTTTCAAGTATCACAAAAGTAGAGAAAATGATATAATAATACAAGAAATCATAACTGTAACACTTTTCAGATCTAACAATTATCAAGATTTTGCCACACTTGCTGGGTTTTGTTGTTGCTTATCTATTTTAAAGCAAATGCCCATTCAAGTCATTTTACTCTCAACATTCTTCAGTATACGTCTCTAAAATATTTGGCTGTTTTCTTACTTAAGTATGATGCTATTATTACTTCTAAGAAAATTAATCCTAATTTTATTGTATCATTTGAATATCTAGTCCATTTCAGATTTTCCTGATCCTCTCAAAAAGACCTTTTTGTGGTCAGTCCAAATAAGGATCCAAATAAGGTCTGCATATTACAACATTACTATTAGTAGCTTAACATTGGAAGCAGGGCCAAGTGTAGTGGCTTATATCTATAATCATACCGCTTTGGAAGGACAATGTAGGAGGATTACTTGAAGCCAGGAGTTCTAGACCAGCCTGGGCAACACAGAAAAACCCTGGCTCTAAAAAAATTAAAAAAAATTATCTTGGCATGGTGGTGTGTACCTGTAATCCTGGCTACTTAGGAGGTTGAGGCAAGAGAGTCACTTGAGCCCAGGAGTTTGAGGTCTCAGTGAGCTATGAAGACACCACTATACATTAGCTTGGGTGACAGAGCAGAATCCTATCTCAAAAAAAAAAAAAAATGGAAGCAGTTAAAATATCTTGCAAAAGAAAACAGATTAATTCTGATAGTGTCAAAAGAAAATGGTAGTTATCTCTATAGGAAGATTATGGATGATAGGTTTTTATCACTGTATATTTCATGATCTTTTCCTAGTGTTCTGTACTAATTAGGAGGGTAACTACTGTGTTTCCCCAAAAATAAGACACTGTCTTATATTTATTTTTTCTCAAGAAGACACACTAGGGCTTATTTTCAGGGGATGTCTTATTTTTATTAAGTATAATACAACAATCTACATTTCTTCAAATACAGTTAAGTCATCTTCTTCTGGAGCCTTACAGGTAGAGCTGACCTTGTTGGTGGGGCTGGCGCTAATTATGGCGTGCACTCCTTTCTGGTAGCCATTTGCATATGCGCAATAAGATGCCTGCAGGTTAACATACACACACCCACGCAAGTGCGAATGGCTCAGAGAAAGGAGCTGTGGTGGATTAAAGGTATTCCAGTCTTCCTTACCACTCCTAGCCAAAATGCATGGCATGGCTATGCAGATACACTGCATAGCCACGCCCATCACTAGGTCTTAGTATCGGGATAGGACTTATATTTAACAAATGCATAGAAATCCTGCTAAGGCTTATTTTTTGGGTGGGTCTTATTTTCAGGGAAACACGGTATTATTTTGTTTTTAGGCTAGGTGCAGTGGCTTGTGCCTGTAATCCTAGCACTATGGGAGGCAGAGGAGGGAAGATCCCTTGAGCTCAGGAGTTAAGAGACCAGCCTGAGCAAGAGTGAGACCCCTTCTCTACTAAAAATAGAAAAATTAGCCAGGTATAGTGGTACACACGTGTAGTCTCAGCTATTCAAGAGGCTGAGGTAGGAAGATTGCTTGAGCCCAGGAATTTGAGGTTGCTGTGAGCTTTGATGATGGTACTGCACCTAGCTAGGTCAACAGAGTAAGACTCCGGCTCCAAGAAAAGAAAGAAAATATTTTTAAGGCTTTACTGAATTTGAATCCCCCATCTCCTCTGTCATCTCACCCTTTTTGTTAGTGATCCATCTTTGATGTCAGCGTCCCTTGCTTATCATGCCTTTTCTAGGTCCGAGCTCACCAGCTTGTTCTTCCTCCCTGTGATGTGGTGATCAAGGCTGTTTCCAAGTATGTTAGTTCCATCGAAGACCCCTCAAACCTGGATATGGTTGGGAAAGATGTTTTCAAACAATCTCAGGTGAGCTGGCTTTCCCCTTCCTAAGAATCCCCACTTTTCTTACCTTCTCCAGCAGTGCTGGCATGTCTTCTGATCTTTTCCATGATGCCTAATTTCTCTTCTCCTAGCTGCATGTTTTCTCCATGCTCACAGAGCAGAACCCTAAAATTTCCTTTAAAAAACATTAGTAGGCATAGATTAAACAGGTTCTTTACCTTTTTTATCTACTAATAATTAGAGTAATAAAAGGCAGTTCTGAAAAACTTAGAAAATAAAGAAAACAAGTCACTTAAAATCCCATTACCTGGAAGCAACTTGCTACAGTTACCACTCAGCCATGTGTCCTTCAAGTCTTTTTGTGGTTATTGTTGTTGTTTCAACAGGATATGATCATTCAAGTTAAGATTTCTCAACTTTAAAATGATGCAAAAGCAATACACATTCAATAGAAAGTATCTTTTGAGTGCCTATGCACTCATTCTGTTTTTCACTTTCAGTACAGTATTCAGTAAATTACATGAGATATTCAAAACTATTATACCATAGGCTTTTTGTTGGATGATTTTGCCCAACTGTAGCTAATGTAAGTTTAAGGCAGGCTAGGCTAAGCTATGATGTTTGTAGGTTAGGTATATCAAATGCATTTTCAACTTAAGATATTTTTAATTTACAGTGGGCTTATCAAGATGTAACCTTGCTGCAAGTCAAGGAACATCTGTATATTTTAACATAAAAGTGGTCTTGCTCAGTAGAGGATAATGAGCAATGAAAAAGACTACTTAAAGTGAGTCTACATAAAATAAGGATAAAAATTTCATTGTTAATAGTGGAAAAGGGGCTTAACTGGGATTTTAGCTAAGAAAATGACACTAAAAATTATGAAAATTAGTTTTATTTTTAACAATTTAATTTATACTTAATCTGTGTTTTTACTTTTTAAAAATTAACAGATACTGAAACAGACTTTTCTTTTCAAATTGACTTTTGTGTATGCATGTATGGTGAATTTTTAGCAAATATATAGGTTTATGTAACCGTCACAATTAGAATACAAAATAAAATCCCCCAAATTCCTCATGTTATCCCCTTGTAATAACACCAAAATCAACCCCTAATTCCTGGCAATCACCAGTCTATTTTCCATCACTTTTGTTGTATTTTCTAGAAAAATATCACATGAATGGAATTACACATTATTCTTTTGAGAATTTTTTTTTTTTGAGAAAAAGTTTTTCTTTGTCATCCTGGCTAAAGTGCAGTGGGATTATAGCCTACCATGATGCCTAGCTAATTTTTTATTTTTAGTAGAGCCAGAGTCTTACTCTTGCTCAGGCTGGTCTCAAACTCCTAAGCTCAAGCAATCTACCCACCTTAGCCTCCCAGAGTGCTAGGATTATAGGCATGAGCCACCACACTTAGCCATGACTTTCCATATAAATTTAAAAATAATCTTGCCGGCTCGGCGCCTATCGCTCAACTGGCTAAGGCGCCAGCCACGTACACCTAAGGTGG